GGCTGAGCCTGGCTCACCTGCCCACCATTTGGCTAGAAGACAGCCTGACACATTGATTGACATTCCCATCAAGCCTGAGCAAGGGCCGGGGGCAGGGGTTGCTATTACAAGAAAAATGCAAATACACTCTGATGGCAGAAGAAAGCAAACCTGACAGGAGTTCTCTGTAAGTTTCAAAATATTTTCATAACATTATTCTCAATTCTTGGCTTTCTAGGTGTATGCAAAGTCTGCATAAGAAACCTACTTCATCTCCATGGGCAGGTTAGTTGTGTTTCTCTAGACTGTTCTCAACACAGAATATCTTTCTTCAGCCCAGAAGCTGTAGACATTTGCCATTAGATTTTGTTTTGTCTTAGTACAATTACTGAGTTATTTTCAAAGTTATCTTTCAACAAGGATTATCTTCTACTACAGTAAGACTGACAGAGGAAAACAATGGTAGAAACCACCTCATTAATAAAAAATGCAAATACTTCCCCTAAAATTTACATAGAAAAAACAAGCATATATCACATGGACCAAGAACCAAGAAAATGAAAAAAGCAAATGAATACGGTCTTTCCTCCCTCATTTACTGCTTAAAAATTTTTAAAGGACAATATTACACTCCTTAAGTCCCGTGTTCCATTAAGAGGCTTTTACAATTGCAAGCAATTTTTACAGGCAGGTGCTGATGGGTGCCCACCATCTCAGCTTAAGTTGTTGATAACACATGTTTCTTACCTGATACTCATACTCTGTGAAAGGCAATAGTTCAGAATCCATAAAAGAGCTTGAGCTTCCATTATAGGTGAGCATTGGATTGGATTTGTCAGGCTGAGTTGCTATTTGTCTTCTGTACAATTCATAGTATAAAACTTTTCCATTGGGCTGAAGTGGTCCCGTCCACAGAAGGGAAACATTGGACTGGAATCCTCCTGGAGCCATCCGTACCTCTAGATGTGGAGGGGGTTGCATCATCGGTGCAACCTCAGGGGTCTGTGTGGCTGCCCAGTCACTTGACGTGCATCCCAGGGCAGTGCAGGCTTGAATTCGTACTTCGTACCTTCAGGACACAAAGCAGAATTTACTGTTCATCAGCAAAATAGTTTTCATGGGAAGAATCTTTAAAATACCAAGTGTTTTCAGGAAAAACCACAAATAAATTTACATTTATTCTTATCTATGGATAACCCTTTTAAAGAACAACAAAGTCATATTTCCATGAAAACTTTTGAATATTTTAAATTCTTCTGGCTTTCCAAGCTAAAGGAAAGACCCTTATCCACCCCTTTGGAAGGGGTGGACACACAAATCTTCCCCTAAGCAGGAATGTATGGAATAAATAAACTCTCAAGATTCTTTCCTGCATGAAAATTCTGGTACTCTGTGGAATTACTTAACACAGCAATGAAGAATGCAGACCTTGGGGAGTATGAACCAGTTTCAGCAGCACTGGTCTCCTCCTGTCTCTGCAGCTAGAACTAAATAATTTCCCAGGAATGTTTCTGGGTCATGAAGGAACATCATGGAGTTAAGGTCTCAGTGGTAATAAATCCCCTTTCCTGATACCTGACATCCTAAAACAGGCTTTCTTACACCACACAAAG